AGGGCTGTTATTAGAACTGACAAGCTGGTTTTAAACTCTATATGGAGGCTAATCATGCAACATACACCGGTAAGCCCAGCAGCTGAGAGGTAGAGGCAAAAGAATCAGGAGCTCAAGGCCAGCTGAGGATATAGGAGACCCTGTCTCAAAAGAACCAAATTATTAAGAATGGTAATAAATTTTTACATAGAGATGTGTGCAGTGGCAAATATCTATATTCCCAATTACTTAGGAAGCTGAGGTAGAAGGACCATTTAGCTTATGATTTTGATAACAGCTTGGGTAGCATATATAAGACCTCATCACTCAAAAAAACCTTTTATTTTAAATTTTTTATAATTTACTTAACTTTATTTTATGTGCATTGGTATGAAAGTATCAGATCCCCTGGAAATGGAGTTACAGTTGTGAGCTGACATGTGGGTGCTGGGATTTGAACCTTGGTCTTCTGGAAGTCCAGTCGGTGCTCTTAACTGCTGAGCCATCTCTCCAGCCTCTCAAAAAACATTTTTTAAAAATAAGCCTGAGCCGGGCGGTGGTGGCGCACGCCTTTAATCCCAGCACTCGGGAGGCAGAGGCAGGCGGATCTCTGTGAGTTCGAGACCAGCCTGGTCTACAAGAGCTAGTTCCAGGACAGGCTCCAAAACCACAGAGAAACCCTGTCTCGAAAAACCAAAAAAAAAAAAAAAAAATAAGCCTGGCATGGTGGTGCATGCCTTTAATCCCAGCACTGAGGTCACAGAGGCAGACAGATCTCTGTGAGTCTGACACCAGCCAGGAAGCAAATTTCAGAGCCTATCTCATTAATTAACTTAAATATTTAAAAAATTGTCTTGGGGGAGGGACTCATGAGATCTCTCCCTCTCTGAGGATCTATGTGAAATTAATGGTTGCTGGTGGAGAGTGAGAAATTTTCTTCAGTGGTATGGGCACTGCCATACCAAGTCAGAGAATAAACTCAGATCCTCAGGCTTGGTGGAAAGCATCCCACTGAGTCATCTCACTAGCCCTCAACTGTCTTAAAAATAAAAACTGGGGACTGGAAAGACAGCTTAGTTGGTAAAATATTTGCCACACATGCATGTGAACCTAAGTTTAATTCCAAAAAGACCCAGGAATGGTGGTATTTATTCTCTTATAGTCCCAGGACTGGGGAGGTGGAGAAGGTGACTCTGGCCAGAACATGGGCTGGAGATCCCAGGACTGGGAAGGTGGCTCTGGCTAGGATGTGGGTTGGTGATCCCAGGACTGGGGAGGTGGCTCTGGCTAAGACATGGGTTGGTGATCCCAGGACTAGGAAGGTGGCTCTGGCTAAGATGTGGGCTGGAGATCCCAGGACTGGGGAGGTGGAGAAGGTGGCTCTAGCTAAGATGTGGGTTGGATAAGGAACACAGCTGTAAACTGCTTGCCTAGCTTGCACAAAACTCTAGGCTTTACTCCAAGACAGAAAAATAAAAGCAAAAAAATGAAACAATAAAAATAAGAATTATCAGAAAATGCCAGTCCAGATAAGCCAGAGTTGGAGGAGATATTTACATCATATTACAGATAATATCAAGACTATCAATATCAAGTCAGGTTGTAGACAGAAGTTTCTGTCCCATCTGATCCTGTGGCCCTTCAGTCCCAAAGAAACACACAGAGGCTTATATTAATTACAAACTGTTTGGTCTATTAGCTCAGACTTATTATTAATTAGCAATTACAACTTAACTTAATTCTAAACATATAATTCTTGTATATGTTTAGACATGTGGCTTGGTACCTTTTCTCAGTAAGGCATCTCATCTTACTTCCTCTGCATCCAGCTGGTGACTACATCTCAGCCCTTTCCTCTCCCCCATCCCATACTTCCTGCCTGGCTACTGGCCAATCAGCATTTTATTAAATTAATATGAGTGACAAATCTTTACTAGGTACAAGAGCATTATCCCACAGCACAGGGTTGTAGTGGTGCCCACCTTTAATCCTAGCACTTGGGAGGCAGAGGTGGGTAGATCCAAGACTTGACCAAGTGAGACCTTGTCTCAAACAAGGTGGAGAGGAGGGGGGATGGAGAGATGGCTCGGTGGCTAAGTACACTAGTTGCTCTTGATGAGGACCGGGATTCAGTTCTCAGCACCTACATGGAGGCTTACAACCACCCATAATTCCAATTCCAGGGTATCCAATGCCCTCTTCTGACCTCTGCAGGAACACATGTGATGCACATACACTCACAAAACACTTAACCAGGGGGCTGGAGAGATGGCTCGGTGGTTAAGAGCATTGCCTGCTCTTCCAAAGGTCCTGAGTTCAATTCCCAGCAACCACATGGTGGCTCACAACCATCTGGAATGAGGTCTGGTGCCCTCTTCTGGCCTGCAGACATACACACAGACAGAACATTGTATACATAATAAATAAATAAATATTTAAAAAAAAAAAACACTTAACCACACTGGACAGTGGTGACAGTCGTTAGCACTTAGGGAGGCAGAGGCAGGTGGATCTCTGTGAGTTCGAATACAGTCTGGTCTACAAGAGCTAGTTCCAGGACAGCCAGGGGTATGTAAAAAAAAAACCTTGTCTCAAAAAACATCAAAAAGCAAACAAAACATTCGAATACATAAAAAAAAAGTCTTTAAAAAAGCCTATTGATTAACTGGGCTGTGGTGGCGCACACCTTTAATCCTAGCACTCGGGAGGTAGAGTCTGGCAGATCTTTGTGAGCTGGAAGCTATCCTGGTCTACAGAGTGAGTTTCAGGACAGCCAGAGCTACTCAGAGAAATCCTCAAAAAAACAAACAAAAACAAACAAACAAAAAACCTTACTGATTAATAAATAAAAGATAAACGTCTATTAAAAAAAAAGGTCAAGATTTGTATAGGCACTTCACAGAAGTCAAGATTAGCATGGCCCAGCAGGAGAGATAGCTCCGTGGTTGGGAGCTCTTCAATTCCCAGCATGCACATGGCAGCTCAAGACTGTAACTCTGGTTCCAGGGGATCTGGCACCCTCACACAGACATACATGCAGGCAATACACCAATGCACATAAAATAAAAATAAATAATTTTTTAAAAGGTTAGCATGGCTAATAAACATATGAACTTGTTCTCAACCTAATTACTAAATAACTAAATGTAAAATAGAGCCATAGTTTTACACCCCCAGACTGGCAACAAGAAAAGCTCTGGCAGCCCCAAGCACTGACAAGGGCACAGAGCCAAGGGGTCCTCTGAACGGCTCTCTAGGGAAGCAGTAAGAGACCCTCAGACACTAGAGAAATTCGGCTTGTGTGCATCCTGGCTAAGATGGCTGCTAGCAGCGCTAACTCTCAGACTGTCATCTGCAGGGAAGTGGCTCTGTGAGCAGTGATACAGTCATACAATGGAACCGTTTCAACAATGAACTTGAACGACGTTAGCTATGCGTGGCAACATGAACAAATCTGATGATGAGCCAAAGGAGTTGGCTGCCAAAGATTGCATCTGTATGATTCTGTTGCTACAAAACAGAAAACAGGAAAAATACTGGGATGAGTGAATAATTGGGTGGTGTAGATTCCTCAGAAAAACAAGAACATGAGATTCACCAAAGCCAGGACTGAGCTGAAGAGGGGAGGGCTGTGATAAGGAGGGACAGGGGTCTTAGCTACTGCTCCTTGGAGATTGCAGATGCCCTTTGCAATTTGCCACACTCGCATTTATAGTTTACTTACGTTTCTGTGTGTTTTATGTCACAGGAAATGAAGAAGGAAGGAGTTGCCTCAGCTCAGGGCAGGGCAGGGGCAGCTGTCAGGAAGCTGAATGCCTGTGAAGGTTCCTTTGGCACTCACAAAGGATGTGTAGGACAGATGAGTCAGAGTCGGCTCTGTCTCTCCAGCCTCCCTCCAGGGAGAGACAGGAAAGTACCTGAGAGGAGCCACCACATATATTTTCATAGTGTGGTGCTGGGGCACTTCCAGAGGCTACTGCCCCTTCTCCAAGCAAAGGAGGTTTCCTCAAAGACTCCATAGCCAGGCAGTCTCACCCAGGTGGAAACAGAAGGCGCAGGCAGAGGCTTGCAGGATGTGTGCAGTAAGGATTGGATCTGTGATGTTCTCCTCCCCCATCCCCAGACACCTGGATTTGTCTTAAATCTTAGATCTATACTGTAGGCCCAGGCATTGTCTAGGAGAACCTCCGGGGCTTATGTTACTCTCAAAAGCCCTTTCTGTATTCGGCTGACCTGCCCATCTGTATTGGGGATGAAGCTGCATCTTGGTGTCCATCATTAGGGGACACTCACAGCAACACGACCCGAGTGGGAGCGACTAGTACTTGTATAAATTTCTAGCTACTGAGCTGGGGCTGTAGCTCAACAGCAAGACCACGGGTTCCGTCGGTGTAAACAATAAATGAAAAACCCCTTTACCAATAAAAATCTAAAAGAAAAGAAACAAACCCAGAGGGCAGAAAGGCTCTCCACACTTTCAGATCAAACACAGGAAACATACAACTGTGTTCCTTCCCGGGCCTTGACTCAGGGCGGCTGCCCTTGTTGCCACTTTTCCTCAGGCCCAAACGGAAGCCACCTCTGACTACATCACAAGGGCACGCGAGTCAGGGAACCCACTCTGGGCTTCAGGTTTCCTTTCTTAGTAGAAATAAGGGTGTAAGGCCCAGCAGTGGTAGTGTAGGCCTTTAATGCCAGCACTCAAGAGGCAGAGGCAGGCAGATCTCTGTGATTTCAAGGCCAGCCTGGTCTACAGAGCTAGTTCCATGACAGAACTAGTCAGAGCTACACAGAGAAATCCTCAAAAAAAAAAAACTTTAAAACAACAAACAAACAAAACAACGACAAAAAAGGAGAGAGAGTGGGGGGGGGGAGAAAGGGAAAAGGGAAGGGAGTAAATTTGTCCCTAGGGCAGAACCAGGAGCTCCTGTCTCCCACCCCCAAACCTTGCCTCACACACTGGGTTCCCGAAGGCAAAGCAATTTGCTCCTCGAGAGCCATGGCTCCTGTGGTGGGTGAGGGCACCTTCAGAGCTCTGGGGGTAAAAAGAGCTGGCCAGACTTCCATGATCAGTGGTGGCTAAGAGGAGTGTCAGGGAGCAGGGGCAGATTCAAATGACAGTGAGTAGCAAAACTGGGACTTGAACTCAGGCTTCTCTGAGCCTCAGTTCTCCCACTTAAAAATGGGTTTATTTTCCCACCTCTGTACCATAAACGTTGGAAGTGTTCAATACATGGTAACCATCACATTATGAATTCCTTTTTCAGGCTGTAGGACCACAACCAGGACTCCCATCATCCCCTACACACAGTCTTGCAGTCTACACCCTGGACTTGGGGCACTTGAAAGAGGTGGTCAGCTGTGGCAGCCGGTCCAGAGTCCTGAGAGGTAAGATGAGGCTACATGAAACCCCTAGGTGGGCCTTGGACATCCATAGACCTCAACTGTTCAGTTAGGCTAATCCATCACATGGCTGCCGGTCAAAGAACCCCTAAATCCTCTAGCCCAGGGCTTGACATACATGTTGGCCACTGGGCTGACCCCCAAAACAGTGAACTGCAGCCCAGTTCACACTCGGCAGACTCGTAGGCACAGGATCGAAACCTATTCTCATCCAGTCCTTTTTCGTATTTTACAGAATGGACGCTGTAATCATAGTGACCATGGCATCCTGATCTTTCTCCCCTGGCAGGCTGAAAGGAAACTCTGCCAAGACGGAGGTAGACTTTGGTTTCTGGAAGCAGATGGCCACTGAAATCCAATGTCTGTCATTCACTGAGCCCCATGATGCCCTGGGGCCACAGCCTTCTACTTCCACAAATTTGACTCACCTAGTCAACCACATGACTCCAAAACACAGCCAGAATTTGGGGTTCCAAACAAAAGCCTTTCTCACTGGATGCCAGTCCCTGGCTACTGGGCACCAATACAGTCCTTGATCTGGGTTCTAGGTAAGAAACCTTCTCCGCTAGGGCTGGTGAGATGGCTCAACAGTAAAGAGCTCTAGCTGCTCTTCCAGAGGACCCTGATCCAATTCCCAGTATCCATGTGGCAGCTTCACAACCACTCATGACTCCAGTTCCAGGGGATGTGACATGTTCTTCTGGTCCCCCGGGGCACCAGGCACACACGATACACACATACGGGTAGGCAAAACACTCATACGCATAAAATAATAAATAAAGATTAAAAAAACCCTTCTCCAACAGAAAGTACAGTGAAGGCCAGATGACGCCAAGGTCTCTGCCAGCCCTGACCTCCAGATGCATTTATTTTCACAAAAACGTCCAGGTGAGATGGCTTACCAGGGTGTGGCCTGGCAGAATTTCATAGCAGACACTGAGGGGACCAATTGGGACCACCCAAACTACTTGGGCACCTGGATGTGACTATCTCCCCTCCTTGGCCTATCCAGGCCCCCCCCCCCCCACTCTAATCAACACTTCCTGTTAGACGTCTTCTTTGAACCTCCCACTGCATTCCAAGCTCCTGGCTCCTCCATGCACGGCTTCGCAGGACACTGCGCCGTCAAGAGCATCTCACACTCGCTGACCTGTTCTAGACTAAGCTCGGCCAAGCCGGACCAGGGGCTGCACACAGACCACAGCCAGCACCAGCACCAGCACCAGCTCCGGCACACAGGAAGCACTCAGTAACTGCAGCTCCAGCCCAACTGACTGATCCCGATGGATCGTGCTATTTAGCTATGACCCCCAGTCAGTTCACCTAGCAGCCTGTGCCCTGGAAGACTAAAGATCACCCATCATGGCTGCTGTCAGTAGCTCTCTACCTGGACACTGGTGACGCTCAGTGGAGCCTGCTGTCCCCTCAGTGCCAAGCAAACCCTGGCTATCGAGACAAGGGTTATCTCTGATTTATTAAGAGGCAGTCGTCCCTCCTTGAGACTGTGTCTTCGCATTTCTATGGGTCCTAGGACCAGCCTTAGGCCCCATCCAACTACCCCAGCCTGGCTTGGTCCCAGCCCACTACAGGGTGGGTATGCCATGTGGACTGGATTTTGTGTCGTCGAAAGGCCAGGCAGAACTTAGTCATCGGCCCTGAAGTCTTGAGAGGTGGTACGTGCAGGGGCTGGATGGGCCAGCCAGCCCTCTTCACGGTTGTGGTCTGCTCCAGCTTGGGACCCAGCCTATCCATTGAAGCTAGGAGTCTTGTTGATGAGGTCTGCCGTCAAGCCCACTCCTGCTCATCTTCCCATGTAAGCAGGTCTCCATCTATGTGGCCCGGCTGTGGCCCGGCAGCTGCTTCCACCCAACAGCTGTGTGGAATGGATGTCACCTGGGCCCAGTGTAGCCATATGGGTGGCGTAGCAACAGGCTTTGATGGCTGGGCAGCACGTGAGTGTGGTAGTGCTCCACCATGCTGCCCACACTTGTAAACATAACCTCCCCTTCCAGGTAGAACTTAGAATCCTGCAGGACAGAAGACATCACGCTCAGCAGGGCCTGCCTAGCCCGTTGCCTCAAGCCTATATCCCCTTCTCCTACCCCCATTTCCTCAAAGGGAAGGACAGCGGAAACAATGGCACCGAGCAGGCTTGCTCCCAGCTGCCCACGTCCCCTCCCTGTCTGCCCACAACAGGCCTGTGTTCCTGAGCTCGGCTGTCAGTCCCCTCACACCGGCCCCTAGGATTCAATGTGAAACCTGCTCTCAGGGCAAGATCTGTGAATAAAACCAAGGGCCAAGGAGAGCTACCCAGCACTTCTAGAGTAAGCCAAGGACATAGCAGGGTTAGGAGAGGAGGGAGCCTAACGACATGGGGAAGAGACAGAGCAAAGGACAGGGCAGAGCTGATGGGATGGAGGTACTGCCACTTCCTGCAAGGGGGACTCACTTGGCTCTTGCTAAGCTTGGAGGACAGTGTCCCCACCCCACCCTCAAAGCAGGGCCCAGTTCCTCACCTTCTCAAAGATACGATAGTTCCTCACTTTGTTAGAGGTTTCGTCCCACACAACCAAGACCTACAGGGAGGGAAATGCGGAGCAGAAGGATTAGAGACAGCCTCAGGACTGGCCACGCCCCACATGGCCTCCCTATTCATTTAGTTATGAGAACAGAGAGGGTGCAGCTGGGCGAGGACCCCAGAGGAAGAACGGCAGGCTCGATGGCACACCTGTCCTGTAACAGCAGCCTACCTTCCCGGATTTGGTGGAGGAGTTCCGAATGCAATACAGCCCGTCCTGAGGCTCTCCCCGGGGATTCGTAGCTTTGAACAACCTAACACAGAACAGCCATGTTGGTGGGCGAACCTCCCTGGACAGCTTCCAACCCCACTCTACCGTGTGGCTTTCTGCCCACTCTGGGTTTCAGGGTATAATAGAGGCTATAAAGCAGAGAGGTTTAGGAAAGCAGCAACGACAACAAAACCCCATTTGGACCCGCAGCTACCACATTTCCTCGCCCAGGCCACAGGCCGGAGCCTGGGCTTGCCCAACACCGAAGTGAGTAAGGAGACAAGGAACCTCACACCGTCACAGCAAGGACCAGAAGCACTGTGCACTAACCTTTCTACCTCGCAGGATTCTGTGGTGTTGACAAACACTGAGTTAGGCAGCGGCACCTGAAACAGGCCAGCAGTGGTCACTATCAGAGCATGAGCCAACCCTCCAAATATCACTGCTCCCCCAGCTGGCTGCCCCCTGCATCAGAATACAGGGCTATCATCGCCCACAAAGCTAGAGTTATGGAGCCCCTTGCTCAGGACAGCCAGCGAGGGCCCCCAGCCCCCAGCTCTGCCCACTTGCTGACTGGCTGCGACCTGAGCCCCCACTCCGTCTCACCTTCTCATAGTCCTCGTCCGAGTCCTCCTCGCCAGTGTCAGCCTGGGAGGGCTGCCGGACCTTCTCAAAGGAGAAGCTCCTGAAACTCTGCCCATCAGGGGGTGATCGCCTGGAGCAATAAGGAGGAAGACCAGAACATCATCCTCAGACACAGATAGGTCACCCCTTCCTCTCCTCCACACAAGTCCTAGCTTAGCATCAGAATCTTGGTGTCAGCTTCTCTGTGGCTGTAACTGCTCAGGACAGCAGAGCACTGAGACTCGAGCTCACTGCCCAGAGGAAGGAGTTATCGTAGATCTGAAAACCCAACTAGGAAATCAGGCCTGCCATCAATACAGCTGAGGGCCCCGGAGCTCAGAAGCTATCACAGAGTGGACAAGTGCACTGGGCACTGCCAGGGCCCAAGATCTACTACTGATTGTCTTTGGGACTCTGGGAGTCCCAGCTCTCAAAGCTATGAGGGCGTGGACAGATGGGAAGAGGTTAAACAGGGCACTCTGACACAAGGGACACCTATGGAAGAGCCAAGCCTCCTGCACAGGCGGCAGTGGTCCTCTGGAGCCTGAGCTCCAGGCCTTTGAGGGCGGATGAAAGGAAGCCACACATGGTGAGCCCGCAGAGGCACTGCCCCAGCCAGACTCACTGGAGGTGGGGGAGAGGTGTCTTTTCTGGTCTAGGCAGCACTGCAGGCCGAACTGTAGTCTCAGGGATGGGCATCTTCTGTACAGGAGGCCTGGGGGCCACAGGGGGCACAAAGAGTCCGGGTTTGGCTGCCTCCCTTGGAGGAGCTTCTTCAGTTATCTTCAGGAACTTGGGCTTATTGGCAGGTACGGGTGGGGGCTCAGATGTGGGTGGCCCTCGGGAAGACAGGTGGAAGGACTTGAGTTTGTCACAGTTCCTAGAGGTGGCAATGGCCATGGCAGTGGAGCTGGAGCCAGAGCTAGTCCCGTGACCAGGGGTCCAGGGTTCCGGGCTGGGGGTCATACTGTCTCGGAAGCAAGGTTTCCAGAGGCTGGGCATGGTGGGAGCATTGCTCAGTGGAGGGTCACTCATTCTCCGAGGGGTAGCAGGCACCCTGAGGCCAGGATCTGCTCGCCTCAGGCCCAGTGGGTCCTTCTTAGCATCCTCGGGAGCAGGGCCAGTATCTGGAAGGCCTCGCTTAGGGGGTGGGGGTGGAAGTAAGGGGCTTGGGCTTTTGGAGGTAAAAGAGTGGGCACGGGGCAAATCAGAGAAGGCTGGCTTCCGAGGTACAGGCACAGGGGGTGGTGGGTAGGCTGGTGGATGTGTCAGGGTATCTGCAGAATTGAAAAAAGAAATTGGCATCACATAGAGGCTGGATCACCACCACCCTCTACTACAACAGGCAGCAGGAGCCAATCATGTCTGCACCCCTCATGGCCCTACCTGCAGCCGACCAGCAGCAGCTGATTCAGTATGCATCCTTCATGGTCTCACCCTTGCCCTACCTAATGGCCAATATCTAGACCCCTACCCAGCTTTCCCTGAGTCCAGACCATCAGTGCTACCTTGCCAATATAGGTGGAACTGTCCTTGAAATTTCCTGCTTCATGGAAAAGTCTGCCAGATACTATGGGCCTGTAGGCTGAAGACGGATGCCCCAACGTTACAGAAGAACTTTGGGTGACTGTCCAGGCAGTGAGATGTCTCTGTCAATTCTAAAGTTTTGGAAGTTGCTTATAATGCACTTCCTGTTTACTTAGGTAATATTATATCCTTCTGGAGTCTTTGATGGAGTTGAAGAATAGATATAGTTTTCCTTAGTCGTGATAAAAGATAAAATAGATATAAATATTGTAACTATAATTCTTCCTTGATAACTGTTTTGTTGAATGTAATCTTGCTATGTTAAAATTAAAACCTTCCTTTTTACTTAGACAGAAAAGGGGAGGTGATGTGGGATTCCCCTCTGTATGCTGTGAATACCATTGGTTAATAAAGAAGCTTCTTTGCAGTGCAGAATAGAGCAAGGTGAGAATTCTAAGCAGACAGAGGAAGAGAGAGCAGGTGGAGTCAATGAGATGCCATGTAGCTACCACAGGAGACAGACGCTAGACACCAGATGGAACCTTACTGTAGGCCACAACCACGTGGCAATACACAGATTAATAGAATATGTTATTTTAATTAATTTAATTTAATTAATATGTTATGTTAATTTAACATATAAGAGCTAGCTAGAAATATGCATAAGATAATAGGCCAAGCAGTATTTTAATACAGTTTCTGTGTGATTATTTTGGATCTGGGCAGCTGGGAAACAAATGAGCGGCCTCCGCCAACACTACCTGGCCCTCCCCATCCATTCCCATAAAGGTTGTCCAGACCAAGTTCCTACAGCCTAGATGTCACCTGAAGAGCAATCAAGGCTCTTCTCTCAACACAGGGTGAAGTAAGCAGAGTGAGGATTCCCAGGCCTGAGCAAGGAAGAGGTGAGCAGGAAGGCCCAGAACCACTGGGAGGAAGCTGAAAGTCTGTTTATAACCAACTGAAGGCACTGTGTGACATTTAGCCCAGGTGTCATATGGGCCAGCAGGAGAGTCAGTCCAGGAACTGTGGGAATGACAGGAGTGAGGCCTGAGGCCCAGGTGTCCCTCAGTCACGGGGAGGGGTGAGATTGTCCCTCAAGAGGTAAACACAGGAGACAGAAAAGCAAGAAGTGCCAGAGTGCCAGGAACATGAAGGCATGAGGTCGGTGGTGAGTAGTGAGGTCTAGAGAGGAGCGGGGGAGTGGTGGAGAGGGTTCAGTGCAGGGGGAGTGGCAGAGAGAGTTCAGTCCAGAGGAGTGGTGGTGAGGGTTCAGTGCAGGGGAATGGCGGAGAATGTTCAGTACAGGGGGAGTGGCAGAGAGAGTTCAGTTCAGGGGAGTGGTGGAGAGGGTTCAGTGCAGGGGTGTGGCGAAGAGGGTTCAGTGCAGGGGAGTGGCAGAGAGGGTTCAGTGCAGGGGAGTGGCAGAGAGGGTTCAGTGCAGAGGAGTGGGAGAGGGGGTTCAGTGCAGGGGAGTGGGAGAGAGGGTTCAGTGCAGTGTCCGTATGCTCGTCTGCCCCAGAGGCTGTGCTTCAGGCGGTGCGGTGGACACTGAGGCCACAGCTGTCAGCCTGGTCTACAGCTTGGTCCTCAGAGATCTTGTTGCCATGGGCAATAGACCTGCCTCAGAACAGCTCCCTTCTCAATGTCCCTCCGTCTTCAGGCTCAGCCTCCAGGACCACCCATGGCGTCATCTGACCCTCCATCCATACAAAGTCAACGTGGGAGGTGGCAGGAGTAGAAGAGCAACCAATCAGCCCTGAACCTCTGAACACTTGGATCACAGAGAGGAAACTGAGATCGCCCAGAGCAAGGCCGCAGCCTTTTGGGTATGGTGGTACATGTTTTTAATTCCATTCTTAGGAGGCAGAGACAGACAGATCTCTGGGTTTAAAGTCAGCCTGGTGAGGAGAGATTAGGACAGCCAGGACTACAGAGAGACCCCGTCTCAAAACAAACAAAAAAGATCCACCAGCATAGGAGAGGCTCTATTCTTGGTCCCAGTCTCCAGTCCCTACCCACCAAGAGACCCCAAGACCCAGCAACCCTACTTACCCTCAAGCTTCATGGGCCCTGGGGAGTCAGGCTCCAAGTACGAGTCGTCGTCATCTTCGTGTTCATAGTCTACAGGTAGTGAATGGAAGATGAGACCCAACACAGCCTAGGTGTGCTGCATGCACAGGATGGCATGGCCCACTGTGCTTTGGCACAGTGCTCCACTCATGGGAACAGGGACTCAGGGGACATGGGGTTGAAGATGAGGGGGTAGGATTTGAAACCTGAACTCACGTTGCTGGAGGTCAGAGGCAGAGGGCAGGGCAGGGAGCAAAGCTAAACATGCCATTTCTCTCCTCTAGGCATCCTGACTGAGCTCACTGTCAGCAGTCAAGAGGACACATGGCAGGGGCAGAGATGGCCTTACCTTCGTTGTCTGTGGGGTATGGAGAGAGGCTGATATCTATAGGTCGCTCCACTGCACCGTAGAAGCTGTCCGTGTCTGAGCTAGAGTCACTGAAACCCGGAGCAGGGAACAGGCAGTGAGTACTGGACTTGGGGTCCCCTTGCACTCACACGTAGTAAGTGATCTGTGCACACACACACTCCCGACAGACACCACAGATGTTGACATCCACTTGGGGACCCATGGGCACACACAGATATGAACACATACAGCAACCCGTCACACATGTATATAGACAAAGAACACAAATATCATATAGAAAGACATTTGTACATATGTATTCATGTGGTTCAAGGATAGACAGAGGGACTGGAAGCTTGGGACCATCTATGGGTGCCACCTTCCTGCCTCACTGTGGCTTTTTGCAACCCTGACCAGCTAGATGTCTCAGAGCTGGGTCCATATGTCTACTTCCTGTCCAAGGAGGCTCAGTCAACCCTAGGCTGAGATGTTGCAAGACGCCAGGCTAGACCGACAGCCAGGAACTCTAGATTCTGTCCAGAATGTCAGGACAGCCTTGGAGGTGCCCAGCCCTCTCTGGATTCCAGTTTCACTGACTGTGGCAGGATTGGCATATGTCCTGTTGTTTGTCTGCCATCTCATGGGTGAGAATGCAGTGACCAGGACTGACTGAGCTCTCAAGAGACAGAGTAGACCCGGGGAGTAGGGAACTCAAAGCCCTGAGCTGTAAAAGCTGGGCCTCCAAAGTAGGGGAGGGAGAAGAAGCACGGATGAACCCCAGATAGGGGGTACAAACAGGCACAACAGAGTGAGACAGAGACAGCGGGAAGACCGACAAGAACACTGCGTGTTCACATATGCACACGACTAATGAAGCTTGCCTGGAACCTCCACAAAAGCCTTTATGGCCAAGTCCTCAGGGACCGGAAGAAGGCCTAGGAGCCCAGAAGCCCACCCACCACATCCCTCGGAGGGACTACTGCCCACCCACCACATCCCTCAGAGTACCTGGTGTCTAGAGAGAGCTCCTTCTTCTCATGGAAGTGGCCGATTTCCTTGCGTAGCAAGGCCATCCAGCTCTGTGGGTCAGGACAGCCATAGTTAGTTTAACACTGCCCAGAATGGGGTCCCACTTCACCCTCCTCTGTCTAGCTGCTATGCAGGAACCACCAAGGTCCAGGGAGAGGAACCTAGCTAGGTCTAGCCTCCTGGGGCTGCAAGGTACCCCCCAGTTCTTTCAGGGCTATACCCTGCCAGCACATTCTCACGATATGTACAGGCTGCGTGCCTAATCCACCCGGCTACCTATACACCAGGTCTTTCTCCTCCAGGCCGTAGCCTCCTGCCTAGAGGTGGTAGGAGGCCAGATCCTGCCAGGCTCCTGAGGCCCTGCTACCTGCCAGTCACCTTGCGCTCATCCTCAGAGGAGGCTGAGAAGAACCACGTGCGGTGCTTCTTGCTGATGTGAATGATCTTGAATGGGAAGACATTGTTGGATGTCGTCTCCTCGGCTGCCCGCATCACTCTGAGAGAACATTGCCAAAAGTCACCAGCTCATCCACGCTTAAGAAACAGGCTCATCAATCCCGCCCCTGAATTGATTTCAGCACTCAGCACCATGCTGTGGGGATGACGGGAAGACCCGGACAGTCTCCGCCTGCTCATCTTCTCTTGGTAGGATATCTAGATGCTTCGGGGGACCAGCAGGGTATGAGCACAGGAAGGGACTGGGTCTGTGAGGACTTCCCAGGGGAGCAGTGTGCAGAGCTCAGAGACATGGTCTCTTGTTGCTCATAGTGTCATTTCATATAGATATCACTTCCCTGCGCAGTCCCATGCAGCCCCTGGACTGCCTCTCTGGTCTGTGGCTTGTTCCCTGATGCAGGCCTTTCTCAGACACATCAGTCTACCTGGGGGCGTCCTGCAGGCTGGGAGCTTGGGCAGGGTACCAGCCTGGCCTATCACAGATCCTGGCCAGGGCCTCTCAGGCCCAGCCTACCAAATGGGTTGGAAGATCCCTAGGGCCCAGCCACATCTGTCAATGAACTGAGTTCATGGCTTGGCTGGCACAGCAGGAAGGCCACCAGTCTGGGGGCAGTGACCAGAGAGGGAGCTTTGATTAGCTAGTGCCTAGGATTGCACTAGGGACCTGCCCTGGCTACGTTGGCAAGGCTGGCTCCTCAAGGCTATAGTCAGGGTAAAGCAGGGGCCCAGGGCAATCTTAGAATAAGCAAAAGGAGCTGGGAGGTACGTGAAAGACTCAGACTAATGCTACAGGGCATAGAGCCTGGATCCCCACAGCCCTCAAGGCCACAGGATAAACTCAGGATGACATATAAGCCAACGTGTAGGCATTAGCTCAAGTTATACTTGCCCATCAGCCTAGAAGCCATAATAAAGGCTTCACCCCACACATACACACCCCACACCCCATTCCCTGCCCTCAGCAAAGGCCAGAATATGAGGTGACAGCCAGCAAGCAGGTGAAAGTCATCTCAGGAAAGCCAGGGATTGGCCCTGTGGTGTAGGGTGAGAGGGAAAGCAATTGGCATGGGGGCTGGCCAGCAGACAGATGGACACTCACCGGTTGTAGCCATTCAGGGAGAAGGCACCCTGAGGGGAGGCAGAGGTGCTGCTCTTGAAGTAGTAGATGCAGCGCTTGTGGATGATGACGAAGCGAAGGGGCCCTGGGGACAATGCAGCAGCAGGGGTCAGCCACAAAGCCACCAGTCAGCTCCACTCTGGGGCGAGCCCCAGAGGCCCTGCACAACGTGGGACCAGACCCGAGACTACAGAGGGGTATAGCAGGAAGTTGGACTGGTGTGCTGCCCCTCCCTAGGGTTTTCTGTGGGGTCAAATACAGACAAGTTCACTGGCACACTGGCCAGTCTTGGGGCACCACTCCAGGGGGCCTGGCCATACAAAGATTGAGACCTCTGTGGGGGTAGATTGAGGACAGTAAGAAAGGGTGGAGCCCAGACCAGAAGCCTGAGGAGGCTTCTGAGAGGCCACGGCAGCCTTGCTTAGTGCAATAGGGCTGTTGGGGGAGGCGAGGAACTGGCAGGCAAGGAGAGCAGGGCTAAGGCCCCCAGAGCAGGCCAACGAGAACCAGGTACAGAGCTCTGCTCCAGTTCTACTGTTCTGCTCAGAACAGCACCCACCCAGGCCTGGGGGAAGGTTAGTTATGGTTCTTTCTTGGAGGCCGTACATAGTATAACTGATGTGTACAGAGTCCAGCAGTCCAACCTAGAGCATTGCAACTAGGCAACACAGGAACAGGGAGTCCCCAGTGCAGGGAACTGCGGGGGCAAAGGCATGGACTGTCCATGGCTGATCAGGGAAAGTCGGGCAAGGTTCTAGTGCTGTTTGCCTTCAGCATCCTTACAACTCGCTCAGCGGGCTCCTGACCTGGCACATGGGCTCATTTTGGGCCGCGTGACCAGTCAACTCGCCCACAACTTACACACAAGGCAAGAACAGCATTGAAGGGCCCTATCTATCAGGCCGCCCTGAGGTCCCCCAGCCTCGACTGTAGACTGAAGTTCTCAGAGTCAGAACTGTACACCAAATACTCATCTTCTCTCTGCCTAGCTATACTATGTTGGATCTTGTGACAAGGTCCAGGCTAAGGAGATTGCCATCAGTTTCATCAGGTGTGCCAGTTGCCAGAGAAGGAAAAGAAACCCCAGAAGACCCAAGAGAGCCCTGGAGAAGCAGGACTCTGTCCTCCCTTTGAGGGTCCCATGATTCAGAGACTCACATTTGAGCATTTGCAGCTGGGTGCCACCCTTCTTGTGCAGGTAGCCAGCCTTAGCCACGCCACCAGGCATGGTCAACAGATTCTGGGCACCAATGGCCTTCATGGGGACAGGCCAATGCATTTCCTCCGCCGCCATGAAGCTGCAATTGAGGCAAAAGAGACAGGACTCAGCTGAGGTAGGCAGCAGGGAACAGCTTGGCAGGGGATCCTGGGAGGACATTTCTAAGATCTAGAAGGCAGCGTGGAGGGTCAGGTCGGTGAAGGAGGAAACTCTCAAGTCCCCAGACTTCTGGGTGAGAAGCTGGGGGTGATCCTGTCAGTTCCCAATCCTCTTGGCCACATCTTAACTCCAGGCTGCTGAGCACTGTATCATGAGTGCATTGAGCCAATGGTCCCATAAAGGCTGGGGTAGTAATGACTGAACTCAGAAAACCCTAACTCGGGTACATCAGACCTCATGCCATTGCTACCCGAGGTTCCCAATTTGGCTTTCTGGAGGATCTCCAGCCTCAGCTGTGAGAGTTATAAAATGGGAGGACAGAATGGTCTCAGCACACTCTGGTCGCCAGGGCGATGAGGACCATTTAGCATGTTTTCTAGTCTCCACTTCATCAACCCAGCGAATAAGGATCCAAAGGCTCCTTTCTGTGAGGAACCCCAGGTACCAGTCACATCGAACCCCTAAACTGGCATTGTTTTGTCAGTGCTACTACCCACCCCATTGGGTCCATCTTGGGACTCCTGAGGAGCCAGCTGCAGCGGGGACAAGGTCAGTGGCCTGCTCTGAAGAAGGTGGGGTGGTTAGGGACAGACTCAAATGGGCAGTGCCAACCTCCAAATACATACACAGAAAACACTCCAGGCCCAGGATGGCTCAAGCCTGCAAGCTCAGCATTAGGAAAGCTGAGGCAGGGACATCCAGAGCGTTAGAAAATGAAAGAGAAAAGGAATCAATTAAGCCCCTGTCAACTGTCAGGCTCACTCCATCACATGTGTGTTAGGGAATTAAGTTCACAGGCTGCCTCAGCTTGGCCTCTGAAAGGGTCAGTTGGCTAGCCCCCCCCACCCCCGACACACACACCAGAACCATAAACACCCAAACGCATCAGTCTGTGGTCCACACCAGCAGGAGAAGGGGCAAGGTCGGGGGCCCTTAGTCCCAAAACGGAGGCGGAGGTTTGGAACAATGGCGCGACCACACCCCCCCGAGCAGAGCCTTGAGGGGACCCTGGGTTCCAACTCAGCAACGAGGTGCGAGGAGGGTGCCCATGAACACACACGCGCCCGTCCAGCGGAGGTGCTGGCAGAGGGACAAACCCGGCGTCAGGCTTGGAGCCCCAGACCGGCCGACTATTGCTGGCCCACGTTCGCCTTTGTTCTGGATGGAAGCTGGAGTAGCCCCTGGGGCCCCAGGGATTTGCTGTCCCAGGTCGTGGTGCAGAGGCTGGGGACCTAGGTCTGTGGACTGGGGGTCTGAGGTGAGTCCGGGTGCTCAAACGCAGGGCTGGGTCCCAGATCCCAAGCTCCGGGATCAGTACTCACGATGTCCACGCGGCGGGCACAGCCGGCTTCCGGGGGGCGGCCAGCGCCCGCCTCCCCTGTGCGCAGCGACATAGTCCCTGGCCGGGTCCACCGGCCACAGCCTCATCCCCAGAGCCCGTCTCCCGCCAGCCCCAGCTCCGTGGCCGCGACCCCGGGCCCGCCATGCTGGTAGAGCCCCAAGACCGGGGCCGCCACTGGCTCCTCCCCTCGTGGGCGGCGGGGGTAAGGGCTAGCGGCCAGGTGAGGAAACCGACCCGCCCCTCCACACGTCAGTTTCTCCACCCACCGCACTGAAGGTGGTGGGCTACGAGTATTGGAAACTGGTCCCTATACAGCCCGGAATCAAGAGCCATCTAGACAAACAAGGAAGCCACTGATGCAAAGAGAAAGTCCCTCTCTTATCCCCAACACCTGAGGATCTTGAAATTCCCGCCTGTGGATCTCCATCCAGCTCACCCCTTGGGTATGAGCTTCTGTAAAATGGTACGTACCCTACTTCTTCTTCTAGCACTCCATGTCACCATGCCAATATCAATCCGTGGGTCTCCCTCTGTAGAGAATTCCCCTAAGGAGTCAGGGGTCCAGCCCTTGGCAGCTTTCACCTACTTGGCTTCTTCTAGGTATCAGTCCCAGAAGAGTGTCCCTGGCTGCCCAAGGCTGGTAAATCCCTTGTTGACCTCCTCCCTCTCCTACCATAATACAGGCTGCCCCCAGGATGGGACATCTGTGAGAGAGCAGCACACTTGCCCTGACAGCTCTGATACATTCCTCGGGCTCCATACTAGGTACATTCTCCCTGGTTTCCGAGCCTGTAAGGCAAATTTGCCACTGCAGGCTGCCTTGATGTCCCTGCAGCTTCCTCATCCAAAGGGTCTGACTGTCTGGTGTGTTTGTTTCCAGAGTACTGCCTGGCATCTTACCCAGAACACTAGGCTGTCTCCTTCTTCCAGCCACCCTGTGGATCCCCTTCTCCACCTCCTCTGAGCAGGCCACGTCTCTGCCCTCCTCATGCCTGTCTTCTGCCTCCACCAATTTCCTTTCATTGCCTTCCAGTCACTTCTTTATTCTAAATGTCATGGGCACAATTCTGCCTTTTGGGGGTTGAGAGGGTCTGGGTCTCACGCTGTAGCCCAGGCTGGTCTCTACCTTGTGATCCTCCTGACTTAGCCTCCCAAGTACTGGTACTACTGCTGTACACTCTTGCACCTGGCAACACTTACACCCTTCCTGATTCAGTCCTGCTCCTACCCTCAACCTTTCTAGTGTGCTTTCCTCTGCCCTCCACTTTCTGTGTCTGTCTCTGTACAGACTCTAGTAACCCACACCCAAGAATTCACATTAGTCCAAGCTGTTTCCACTGCCTGCTGTTACAACTAAAGTAATTTAGCCTTTAAATATTAGATTCCAAGAACACTAACCATATGCAAACTCTCCCAGAAAACATAAGAGCAAAGCCCTGAGGCCAGCATCATCACCATACCAAAGCCAGGTAAAGAGATCACAAGACATGGAAACTAAAGGAAAATAATTCTCTGAGTTTTCGTTTTGTTTTGTTTGGGTTGCTCTTTTATGACAGAATCTCATGTAGTTCAGGCTAGCCGTGAACTATCTGGGTAGCTGAGGATGACCCTGAACTTGTGCTTTCCCTGCCTCCACCCCATGCTAGGATTACCCTGCCTGGTGTGTGCAGTGTTGAAGGCAATCAGTATAACACACCATACTGATAAAGAACAAAACCGCAAGATCACCTCAAAAGATACAGAAAAAGCATTTGCTAAAATCTAGATCTTCATAAGAACGATACTCAATAAACTAGGAACAGAGGAGAACTTCTTTTCTTTCTCTCTTTTTTCTTTCTTTTGGTTTTTTTGAAACAGGGTTTCTCTGTGTAGCTTTGGATCGTGTCCTGGAACTCGCTCGCTCACTCCTTGCTCTATAGACCAGGCTGATCTTGAACTCACAGAGATCCACCTGCCTCTGCCTCCCGAGTGCTAGGATTAAAGGTGTGCACCACCACCGCCCAGCTGATTAGATGAATTTATGTAGCATAAATTCTAAGAAACTGAGAAGTTATCAGGACTAATAAGTGAGTTTTCAAGGTGGAAGGATGTAAGACAAATATATAAAATGCATTTTGTTGCATACATTAGCAACAAACAAGGCCAAGAACAAATTTGAGTATTCCCTCCCCCAAGCAGTTCCCCACGACTGGAAAAAGGCCCTGTGTCCCCAACTGGGGCATGTGATACAGCCTTCCTTCTACATGACGCTGACATAGTAGGTTATCATTCCCCCATATGTAGCTTTCAGGCCCAGAGTGGGAACCCAGAGTGCCTCAAGTAAGACACTGTTGGTCCTGGTGGGTAACTGAACTGCTGAAGGCCCCTGGTACAGAGCCCCACTCTGTCTGGAGCTGCCGTGAGGAAAGGCGCGGCCTACCTCCTCCTGCCTCCCTTCTTGGGTGGGGCTGAGCACAGGGGTTGGGCAGCTTCAGCCCCATCTTATTTCATTTCAGTGGCCTGCAGAACAAGGCCGGGCTACCACCCTACTGTGGGCAGACTGAAAGCTCGGAAATGGCCACTGACTAACCTTGTGGGAAAGCCAAGTCGTGTGCCACCTTCTCTCCTAGGAATATCCTCACGTCAGAGACAGAAGTGACATCACAAGCCCTCTCCAGAGGATGAGCCCTGTCTGACACCAGGTGGATAAGCCGGGGTGCCTCCCGCTCAGCAGCCCAAAGCCAGACCAGGCTGTGAGCAGAAAGAGGATGTGGCCCCTGATGGTATCATGCTGCTCTTAGAGGATCTGAGCCCGCCTGCAGACTACAGCACCAGCTGTGACTGGGAAAGCTGAAGGGAAACCAAGGTCCTGGCTTGCCCGTGGGTAGGACGAAACCTCATAGGTGGCCCCTGACTGACTTCCTAGCTAGCCACCTCAGTACCCATAGCACCGCCCCAACACCGGGGCCTGATAGCTAAGTTCCAGTTCATTCATGCTGGGGAACGGACAGTTCATGGGGCAAGAGCTCAGTGCCGTAGTAACACCAGCCTCAGGAGGCTGACTCACTGTGGATGGGAGCTTTGAGAGAGAGAGAACGGAGACAAAAGTGCAAATCTCACTCAGCCCTCATCTTTTGCTGAGTCTCCACAGGCAGAGGAGCCATGGAAGAGTCCACCCCTCAGACTCCTCTGGTAGCCTAGCCACAAATCCCCACCCTAAGTGGGAGGTTGAGGCAGCAGGGTCAGGACTCACTTGCCAGGTTCACTGAGCTTCATAGGCCCTTTAGCTTGTAGCTGCAGGCCCCTATCTGCACCAGGGCTTTGGGTGTGTGTGGGTCAAGGTCAGTGGTTGTGGCTTGAGTCCCTGAGACCTTGTAGATGTGTGATTGTTGTGCGTTTACGCCTGTCAATGTGCTCGTATGCACACCAGGAAGGCTGGACTCCTGCCACATTCTCCAGGTTGAGTCTCTCTACTCCTGCTCTCATAGTCGATCTTGATTCAGGGGTCCCTGCTGCCAGAGGCTGCTGGAGGATACGGACAAAACAAGAACCACTCATGCCCGGCGGTGGTAGCCTATGTCTTTAATCCGAACATTGGGGTGGCAGAGGTAGGCAGAGCTATGTGAGTTTGGGGCCATTCGGGTTTACAAAGTGAGTTCCAGAACAGCCAGAGCTATTACACAAAGAAGCCCTGTCTCGAAAAACCAAAATAAAATAAAATAAAAATAAAAAAAACCCACACTGTGCCACAAGTTAACAAGTTCCACTAGATGTAAGTGCTGTGGCTTGTGCCTGCCCTGGGGCTCTGCCACCCTGCAGGGGTGAGCGATCATCACTCACAAGGGTCCATACATAAGCTGTGGTCCTGCATGGCACACCTGGTTAACATCACAGGCATTGTACTCACACAATGTACATGTGTGCACATTAGTACATGTGTGTATATACATACATGTATGAGCCTATACATGAATACAGGATGTGGCCTGTGAAGGTCTGGGCTCTGACAGCCCTTGACACCTACAACTATGCCTGTGTGAAAGAATCAATTCCTCTGGTGACCACAACATCAAGGGCTTACGGTAAAGTGTGACCAAACCCAACTGCTCTTTGTGAAGCTGCAGGGCAAGGCAGGACTGGGGGCTCCCAACCCAAAGGAAAGGAGACCAGATACCATCGGGGTATTTGTGCATACATATGATCTCACTCAGGTATACAAAGAAACACATGATCTTGTAAATACCCCTCATGTTACATCAATACATGTACATATATATAGTCATCGTGGTGATTTGAATGAGAATGGTCCCCAAAGGCTCATAGATTTGAACACTTGGTCCCCCAGTTAGTGGAACTGTTTGAGAAGGATTACGAGTTATGGCTTTGTTGGAGGAGATATGTCACTGGGTGTGGGCTTTGAGGTTTTCAAAAGCCCCGCGCCATTCCCAATTAGCCCTCTCTGCCTTGTGCTTTGTAGACCAGATGTGAGCTCTCAGCTCCTGCTCCAGTGCCATGCCTCCCTGCCTGCTACCATGTTCCCTGCTATGATGGTCACGGATTCTAACCCTCTGGAACTTCTTTCATAGGCTGCCTTGGTCAGGGTGTTTCATCACAGCAACTCAAAGTAAGACACTTTTGTTCTCATAGGAACTGACCCACCTATCCAGCCACAGTTACATGTGAATACACTTATTCATATGCTCAAGAACATGCTCTAGGGGCTGTAGAGATGCTTCAGTAGTTAAAAGTGGGTGCTGCCTTTGCAGAGGACCCAAGTTTGCTTCCCAGCACCCCTATTAGGTGGCTCACAATTGCCTATAACTCAAGATCCAGGGGATCTGATGTCCTATTCTAGACTCTGGCGGCTTCACTCAAGTGCATATGTCACCGCATAGACACACATACACACACAATTAAAAATGACATGTTTTCTAAAAGCATAAACTCGTGTGCTCACACTCACGCATACTTACACACGTGCTTGCTCACACATGTATGATAATAGACACATTTGTACTATACACATATGCAGATAACCTATTTATTCACACTCATATATATGCAAGCAACACACACAAAGACACAGTCACAGTCTAAGACCCTTCATGAGTGGCCCCTAGAGGCTGGCAGCCCGCTACCTAACAACTCAGCAGCCTTCGCAGGGC